GACCTATCATACACCCTTGAGGTACGCCAACCTAGTAATTTGTAGGAAATTATTAGGCATACATTCTTATTTAAATGTATTTATAATAAAACTTAAAGTGCTAAAATGTTAAAATATTATAAATTAAAATATGGGTGTCGTCGTTATCAAACGCTTCTCCCGGGACAAGATGCAAAAGAAGGAAAAAATAATTTTATGTTCGTGTTCATGGCAGTAAACTAATGTAATAAAATAAGTTTAGTTTATCTCCACTTACGGCAATTATTATTATCGGGCTATTATTTTTATTATTGGTGCGTATACGTATAATTTTACATGTGATAACATAAAAGCTAAATACTTAATACGAGGTTTTCAAAGAATGTCTGTAAATGAAGTTTTTAATGTCTTTTTATCACAGCTATGAATAATGGAATACAACAAAAATTTTACTGTGACTTGTCGACGACATTTATTATTATCGCGTAATTGGCGTCACATTCTTTACTTTTGGCTTATTTTACTCAGCGTATAAGTATCAGTAAATTGCAGTATTATACTAGCTTTTGTCCGCGTCTTCGACTGATTTTCTATCTGTCAGGGACTCTTTATCGCGCGTGTTTCCCCCTTCAAAAAACTGGATTAAAATTATCTACTTATCCTTTAGTTTTTTCTAGGTCTCAAACTTTTTTTATAAACAAGGCAGGCAGGTATTTAACCGCAATCTTTTTTCCAAATTTTATCAAGCATGAAAGAGTAATAAACGTCTGTCATAAACACATTTATAATATTAGTAGGATATAACGAACAGGATTTAGGTTTACAACCCAAGTCCTTTAATACTGTGTTAATGTACAAATCGGATGCGCACGCGACCGTGTCACGATGCACGGCTGACATTGTCCTAAAATTCCCGTCCTTAGCCCTGACAGTGTAACACTTGCGTGGTTTGTATTCAACTCATGCGCCGCCTTGGGTCGGTGTTATTGTTATGAGCTCCTTATGTAATTTGAGATGATTTGCCGCAGGCTTGGCCATTTTATTGTTAAGTGGACCTCAAATTGTGAAGTATAGTTTGGTAAAGTATTGGTCATCGAACTGTAATTGCCAATACATCATGAATATTACCAGATTTTTCTTTAAAATTGTCTTTTTTCTTTCATGTAGATATATTACCTGCCAACGTGGGTAAATACTTAACATTGCTGAGGTAGGTAGTAAAAGAAGAATTTCTTATTTACCTAAAACACTGTTACGTACATACACGTGTACATAATATATGTAGCTAATGATGATACTATTTTAAAAGTAGTGAATTTTATTATATGCATGTATGAATACCTAACCTGAAGCTGAGTAAACAATTTGTCTTAATATCTCTTCGCCATCATGCATAATACACAACTCTTTGAATTTGGACAGACTTGACCCTTTATTTAGCAATATGAAAATAACCATGCCACGATAGCCCAACGGTGAAGTGGTCGGACTGGCCGACTAGAGATCCGAGGAACGCGGGTTCGAATCCCACCGCCGCTCGAGTATTGTGGTGAGCCCACTCGTAACACAAGCTTATTTAGTTTAACACGAGAGGCTAACGGGACTATTATTAATTTGTGCAATAAACGTGCTTATCTTTGGCTTTAATAATATCAGCGTTATTTCAACTTATTGTTAGTTCAAACATCCATCATTAAAAGGATCAAAGCGACAAGATAAGCCCAGTACCTCCTAACCTTTATCGTAAATACTCGATATGCTCGTGAATCAACGATTAGTAGTTTTCCATTTTCCGCCATAGATGCGGGCGGGACCAGACTCGGTAGCAGACGAAGGCCCCAACTCGACCTTATACGGAATCAGTATACAAATAGATGATTTTTCCGTGAGTGCAGTTCCGGCTTTATTTTTAGCTGAAGGCCTATGATAAGGCGTGTGAGTCAACTGAAAAATAGGAAAATTAAATATCTTTGAACCTTCTAAATTAACGCCTCTACCTTTAGAAGTAAATTGAAAAACTTGCGTATCTTATTGAGAATATAGTTCTATTTTGCAATCAAGTAATCTAATTTTCACGCAATTTATACCTACAATTTATTGAAAAATTGAAGATAAACATAGAATTTCTGAAAATAAAGTTAAGGATAAAGATTTTCAGTTAGTAGGTACCTTTATTTGACAATGAACGTGTATAATCCTAAATTCTTGACTGTTGCCATTGAACTTTGTTGGGAAATTTTTAATTTGTATTGCTGATCACTGAACCATCTTTTAAATCTTTCGAAATTGTAGAAAAATTCTCAAAAGACAATGCTGGGAATACTGACCGTAGTATTTACTACATTACAGATTCTTTTCTTACTATACATTCTGTTACTACAAAACATAGATTCTGCTGGACTTACAACCCCCAAGGCACGCCACTTTTTTTTGCGCAAGTAACACATCGCGTCCTTTGCTAACGTGCAAAATTCTGTCATTTCATAAGATCATTGAACATCCACCATTGGTATTAGGTATATTTACTTTGGAACTTTAGTAATAATTGACGTCCCATGATTGTAAATTCGCAATGTAAAGTGTTTAAGGTACTTCAAATGAATACTCGGTCCCAAAAACACTCCAATTTAAGTCCTTCGTCGTTATCAAAGCTTAAATCACTACAAATCGTCGCCGATGTAGGGCAAGATGCGTGCGACCTACTTACCGATGCACTTGACCAAGTAAAGTGCAATCAAACGTTTCACTCATTACTGTAGGGTAGCCAAAAATAATTGACGTATTGGGACTTGCATTCATACTTCCCGGTATAATTTTAGTTGTGTGATTAATACGTCAAATTATTAATCACACAACTAAAATTATTTAAATAAAAGACCAAATAAAAAAATTAATCCAAAATAAATAATATAAAACAATATAAATTAAAATAGTCCCAATAAAATTGTCACGGACACTGCAGTTGTTTTTGTGTCGAAATAGAATACTGACTAGATTTGTTTATCAACCTTTTGTGGAAGTTACTGGAAGTAATTTTGAGAGCATCAAAAATCAATTCCTGGAAAATTATTACCCGTTTTATTTTTCCAATCTATCCAGTATTCATCCCTCGTATCTAATAGCGAAAGTAACAGCAAAAAGTAGTCCTAAAATAGGAAAACTAGATTTTAAAGCGTGTAAGTAGAGCTGAATTATTAAACCGATATAATCGCGCATTTTTAATTTATTTTATCTACAGATCAAATAAGGGCCAAAGCATCTTAGATGAGATACAATTTTTTCACATGCCTGTTAGGGCCTCCACTGGCTGCCCGTAATAATCACTATAATAAAATGATAGTAAGGATTTAATTAAGTAACATGATGAATTATGTTCCTCGGATGTAAATGTAATTTAGCGGCCCCAACGTGGTACCCGTTAATGGAACATCGAGGAAATCTCTCAGGGCAGATAAGGAGCTTACGAGGCTGAACGGGCCTTGTAAAACCGCCGACTACGCATGCAATATTAATATTCGATTAGCGTAGAAATCAGAAGAAGAGTTGTGTGAAATTTGTATTTTAATTTTTATTATTATTTTAAAGATACTGGCGTTATAATTGGAGAATTATCTAATGGAGCTGGTATGATTTTTTTATTAAAATCATTATTACATTGGCGTATTAAAATATGTGGCTTTGCTAAAGTGTGAAGCGTCTCCAGACAAGTCGAACAATGCAATTAACCGAAAATGCCAAAAATGTTAGTTAGCAGTGTTTGGTTCTTAACCGTCGATTTATTTCTATGAACATTTCAATACTATTTCAATTTAGAGCTCTTGATGTACTTGAAAATAGAGCGCTTTTACTATACGCATATAAAATAACTTCAGATAATTAAATTAGAATAACACATGTCACATTAGCTAGTACACGATCTGTATTATGTTCCATATCAGTAACAACCCCTATATTTCCATATTATCAACTTGCTAAGCAGGTCAATTTGAACTTTCTTACATACAATTATACAGTGCAAAAAATATTTTAAAAATTGGTTCGACTACGTTGGAATGCAGATAATTACGATGGGTTAGAGGTAAAATCAAGTAGTAGGTAGTTTTTCTCTTAAATATTATGGTTAACGATCAGTCAGTATTTGATTTTTTGTCTCGTGATGATAAAACCAACCAAACAACTTTTTGACGAAACAATCGGTTTTGGCTCTAGCCCGGCGACTTTAACTCTCTTCAGTCAAAAAACATGACGTTCCAAAATATACAAAAAAAAAATGGTCTGATATTTTCCAAATTTGTGGTTACCCTGTTTTCCCACGTGACATTGCATAGGCATATTTCGATAATACCCATGTGTTTATGGGTAATGACAGTCAGTTCCGCGACTCTTATCGCTGTTATCGACCGAGGCCGCGTGCCGAACCTGACAATGAATTCAGAGTAGTGTTGTACGAGGGTTTGTTTACATCGATAGAATTGATGGTGTTGTTAAATTAATTTAAAATTAATGCGTAAAAATAACTATATTTTTTTAGTTTATGTGGTTTTATAGTAACTAAAGTAACATTTCGTTGTTATTAAAAAGAAGAGCGATTTTTATTGTCTGTAGCTTTCAAGTGTCTTTCCCATTAGTCTATCGTGGAGTTCGTTGAGTATAGAAATAAAATTAGTTGCAAACTTTGGTTTTCACAGCTGATTTCTATTAAAAGCCAAAACTAGATTTACGACCAAAACAATATTTTATGAATTAGTATTTTTTTTATTACAAAGTGTAATGGATAAATTTGGAAATCACTGTGGCCCTAACTAGGTACGCTAATAAAAGGATATTTATACAGCATTTAATTTATGCAAACCTCAAGACAAAGCGACTGCATCTGCACTTATCGACAATCAATATGCGTGCGCGCATCTCTAGCAAGATATAGGGGTCAGGCCTTCAAGCAAGCGAAGGAGAGTCGTTTATTTACAAAATACAACTTTAAATATCCTTATGAAAATCAATCACATCGTAGTTAGTGCACGGCAGAGCGTGCACTGACACCTTTATAAAATTTTAATTTAATTATTTTTTTTACATTTTTTTTTCTTTTTGAATCGGCGTAGTGAGGTGATAAAAGCACGTCGATTAAAGTGACATCTTCAGATCATAATTGAAATCAGTGAAAATGTGTCGCTCTATTGTGTTTGTTTTCTTTTTGACAATACGTTTGGGATACTGTTTTGTAAATTGTAAGTTGCAATGATTTTATTAAATTAGGTTACATTAATCACATTCTTCTTAAAAACGAATATTAAATTAAAACTAAAATAGACTATATTTTATTGAAATTCTGTTAACTAATTAATTAAATTTAATATCAAAAATTAAGAAGCGACTATAAAACCCTAATCTACAACATTTGAATACTTTTGAGCTTTCATTATTTTAATTTTACTGTCAATCCGCTTAAGAGCTTTTCTGTAACTCCCTAAGGACTGACTTTAAAAACATAGCCTTACCCTTTAATAAATGTCCATCAAGCTGAATTTAAATAGAAATAAATATTAAATTCTGTTCGTGTTCAATTAAGAACTTTTTGCAAGATTTTGTTTTAAGGCAGTTAATAAAAAAACTTTTAAAATTAAATTAAAACACTCGTATTGATTAAATGAACCGTTTGGTCACCCTACACGTCAATTTAAGTTTAATACGAAGTGATTTATTTATAAAATTTTATAAAACTAGCTAATATTTTTAACACGACACAATCTGAAAATCTATAATAACCTGACGGACCGATAAAACCGAAGGTCCGAAGTTTGATTCCCAAGTGCGGTGTAGGAAAGTTTTTGAGGGTTCCTACTTTGTTGATGTTTCGAGACGTACAATATGTGTTTTATAGTGTAAATTTGAACCAAATTAATAAAATTGTCTAAAATAGGATCTCAGATGATACGACCACAACAACGCGTCAGATATGTTCGTTCGTTCGTTCGTTCGTTTCAGCCAAATGACGTCCACTGCTGGACAAAGGCCTCCTCCAAGGCTTTCCACAATGCACGGTCCTGCGCTGCCCGCATCCAGGCTCTTCCCGCGACCTTTACGAGATCGTCGGTCCACCTAGTAGGAGGCCTGCCCACGCTACGTCTTCCAGCCCGTGGTCGCCACTCGAGAACTTTTCTGCCCCAACGGCCATCGTCTCTACGAGCTATGTGCCCCGCCCACTGCCACTTGGTTTTAGCAATTCTGCGAGCTATGTCGGTCACTTTGGTTGTCCTGCGGATCTCCTCATTTCTGATTCGATCACGCAGGGAAACTCCAAGCATGGCCCGCTCCATCGCCCTTTGGTCAGATATGTAATAGGTATTATTTTTTAGGAAAAAAAAATGTCTGTTCCGATAGAATTCTTCTGGCGTTAAAATACAAAACAACTTTTTGTATGAAACCAACATCGAATCTTTTTAAGAATCACTTCCGCACTTTGAGGCGTTATTTCGATGTCCCAAACAAAAAATTATACCACCAGCACCCGCTTTCGGATCCGTCTGGATTTCGCACACCTGTATAGGCTCATAGTCATATACCCCTTCATTTCAGTGGCCGACGTAGAATGTGGCCTGGACATCGCTCGCCGCGGCCGCATCGTGGGGGGCGAAGACAGTCTCCCTGCGGAATTCCCCTGGGCTGCCAGTTTATGGAGACAGGGGACTCATCAGTGCGGAGCCACGGTGCTGAGTGACAGGTGGCTGCTAACCGCTGGGCATTGCATTTGTAGGTAAGTGAATAGAAATGAGGATATCCGTATCCGCATAGTACGCAGAACTGACGACCGATGCGGCAGGACAGTTCTGGAGTGGAGGGCGCGTACCGGAAAACGCAGCGTGGGACGTCCATCCACAAGGTGGACCAACGACATCGTAAAGGTAGCAGGAAGGAGCTGGATGCAGGCCGCTACCAACCGTGCAACATGGAAATCATTAGGGGAAGCCTATGTTCAGCAGTGGACGTCCTATGGCTGAGATGATAATGATGATGGGGGGCGAAGACAGCCTCCCTGCGGAGTTCCCCTGGGCTGCCAGCCTGTAGAAGCAGGGGACTCACCAGTGCAGGGTATAAGTAAAAGTGCTTCAAAAAATAATGTTGACCTTATCGCTGAATATCAAACCACTTATGGTCACACCACACATGCTAGTTTTAGCATTTGCGACTGTATCGGTGCAGCATTGCGATCTTGCTACTTCATGGCATTTTTGTTTAGTGTCTTTCTGGCGCAGTCGGGTAAAAAGCGACTAAATCGCTGCTAAAAGTAGCATTTATGTTCAGTCTGTAGCTCTTACAATTGACATAGATGTGCATTTGTGAACACTAAGTTGTCTTGTTTCTATCTCTTCTCTTCATTTTGTTAATGAAAACTCGAATGCAACCTCTACTTACATCAGGTTTCAATGTTAAAATTGTCAAGTTACAATAATATTACTGTCGTATTTATTCTTAAATGTACCTTACAATATACATGACATTCCATACTGTGAAATTTCAACATTGTAAGGTACAGTCAAGCTCGTTTTTTTAATGTAAGGGACATGCTATCTTTTAAACTACCCATTTTTCGAAAATTTGGCGCTTATATTATGAAAGAACAGAAAATTCTAAGAAACTTTGCCATAGAAACTATTTAAATCGTAACATCACATAAAAAAATATTGAGGTATAAAGAAAAAAAAATCGTTTTTTGGCTCTCCTGAAAAGTCGTGTTTTGTCCCTTACAGTAATTGATATTTCCACCATCGTGAAGATACATTTTACCATTTCAGTGTCTTCGACGAGTTTTACAAGTCAAAACAATTGACTGTCGTCGTTGGGTATACCGATATAACCTCAAGCAAAGACGGGACTGAAGCCCTTTCGCAAATCATCCCCCACCCTGAATACAGGTAAGTATTGTACACAGCTACCGATTGAAAACAGGTTTTCACTTCAGAAACTGTTACAATACTCACATTTTTAAATAGTATGTAAAATACCCTGGCTGCCACCAACCGGTCATTGTGGAAAACATTGGGGGAGAAGGTTTATATTCAGCAGTGGACGTCCTATGACCTAGAGGGTTACCTACGTGAGTGCGACAAACATTACATCGAATTTTGTTTCTTCGAAAACCTTTCTGCGAAGTTACTATACTGCGACGCCTTGTTATATCGATGCCTTGTTACTGCGATGTAACGTTACATCGAAAAACTTTACTGCGAACGATTTTACTGCGAAGCCTTCTTTATTTGACTTAACAGATAGATAAAAAAATTAAATTACATACATCAAAAGAATACCTACCTAATATAATGCATTATGTATTTATTTATTTAAAACATACATGCACTATGTACACAAGGCGAACTTAATGTGATTCAGAACTCTCCTCCAGGAAACAGAATAAAGTGAATAAAGTGGGCGGTACAAAATTAAAGACAAAATAAGATTCTAAATACATTAAATTTTATTTACTTATTTCACATATTTAACATTTGCATCATTGATTAAATAACATGAGAATAGAAACATAAATATAAATAAATTATAAAATATATGCCTACCTATTGATTTGTATTTTTATAATGATACTTACTACTCACTCGTTCATTAAAAATGACTATGTACATAATTTCGCAGTAAAATCGTTCGCAGTAAAGTTTTTCGATGTAACGTAACATCGCAGTAACAAGGTATCTATATCGATAAGCGAGATAAGGCGTCGCAGTATAGTAACTTCGCAGAAAGGTTTTCGAAGAAACAAAATTCTATGTAACGTTTGTCGCACTCACGTAGGTAACCCTTTCTTGGGTTAGAATAACAACCTAAACTTAGGGCAGAAAAGTTCTCGAGTGGCGACCACGGGCCAGAAGACATAGTGTAGGCCTCCATTAGGTGGCTGACGAACGACGATCTGGTGAAGGTCCCGGGAAGAACCTAGATGCAGGTCGCTACCATCTGGTCATTATTTAAATCATTGGGGGAGGCCTTTGTTCAGCAGTTGACGTCATTTGGCACGTCATTTGGCTGAAACAAACCCAAGCTAGTAATTGCTTACCTAAAGACGATTCCCAGGACACGTTGAACATCAGCTCGTGGTCGGCCCCGGGCAGCGGTAGGGGGAAAACCTGCAGATTCTGCGGGACCCCAGCGTACTGCACTGGATACGACTCGTCTGGAGGGTCTGGTAGGTTCTCCTGGAACAATAGATAGTTTGCGTTAGACAGTTGAAGAAACAAAATAAATATTTTATGTGAGAGAGTGAGAGATTGAGATTGAAAATGACATTAAGTGAGAGAGTGAAAAAGAGATTTAACAAGCCAAAGTTTTCACTTCAAAAACACGTAGTTCTTGTGGTGTGCTTAATTTTTGCACTTACTGATTTTCAACTACTGAGATGTAAAAGATAAAGTAGGTACTTAAGTAAGTAAGTAAATAACCAGAATTACTGGTCAGTAACTTTCGTAGGTAACCATAGAAATGAAAGAACTCATCTCGCTTTGATTCAACATTTTTCACACTATATTTTGTTTATTCAGAAATAACTACAGCTGACTAATGTTACAGACTTTATAAACTTCATTAAATTACACTACCCATTTTAAAGACTCATATTCCAGTATCCACTAACAACTATGTAAAACCAACATTCAAAGTGCTCAGATGGTGATACGAACCCTTTGAAGTCACTTGAAATAAAATTTTAAAACGAGGGTCTGTCTACTGCCCCCTGGCAGTCAAAAGGTCACTTTTAGTTCCAGCGGATCGTGTTGAATATTTTAGGGTAGGGATTTTCGAAATGGCCGTTGAAATGTCTTGCGAATAAATGTTTCAACACCAAACGCCTTCTAAGTTATTGCAAGGGAATCGAAAAGTACCTACATGTTTGGTTACACTTGGGATATTTCTGACTTTGTTGTTTTGAACTCAGATTCATCTTAGTGCTGTGCACTTTTTGTCCTTATTTGCAGTCTCTTAAGGGATTTTGTGGACGTGAAAAGTTTTCTTATGTGGCGAGATTGAGCAAAAGAATACTCAAGTCACTAAAAAGTCGCTGTTTTCAAAATGGAGACACAGCTGGTTTGTGAATTTGACTCAGTCCTTTGCTGAATTTATAGTCGTCCCGTCTAAGCTTGGTAGGTAGGTAAGATAATGGCCAATATTTTCCTTTCTTACTTAAGCTCACCAACAGCTCTGACTATTTCTTCCTGTGAATACTCGTGCTGTGCGTGTGCTTATTATAGGTAGTTGATTAATCGCGCTCAAAAGTTATGCTTGACTTGCCATGGTGTGGTCTCAAGTTTTGCCTAAAAGACTAAAATATATGACACACTAGCTTTTGCCCGCGGCTTCACCAGCGTGAAATTTAGTGTCTCAGATAGGCATAAATTATAGCCTATATTATTATGTTAATCTGGGCACAGAATAATAATAAGTACTACGTACAGAAGTTTTACTTCGCGAAGGTATTTAAAAAAATGTATGCTCAATGTCATCCCAACTAATATTATAAATGCGAAAGTAACTCTGTCTGTCTGTCTGTCTGTCTGTCTGTTACGCTTTCCCGCTTAAACCTCGCAACCGATTTTGATGAAATTTGGCATAGAGATAGTTTGAGTCCCGGGAAAGAACATAGGATAGTTTTTATCCCGGTTTTTGAAACAGGGACGCGCGCGATAAAGTTTTTCTGTGACAGACAAAATTCCACGCGGGCGAAGCCGCGGGCGGAAAGCTAGTTAACAATAATGGTGTAATTTAGCTTGTCTCAAGAGTCAAGCACCATCTTGTTGACAAACGTCAGTGATCGGCACTGCGCCGAAGCTATAGGGCTGACTTCGGTAAAATGATGTGACTTGAGGTGCCAAACTGCGGAAAATGGCGGAGGAAATACATGATTTAGCATGAATTATCATGAATAATATTAACTACTTATTTACCTGTCAGGGTTATTCCGTATTCGACCCATGACAACTCAACCCATTTCTTCACTCATCCCAAATTAGTATTCCTAGCTCAACCCATTACATAATTTCGTTATTCTACCCAAATGCATTCCTTACTCAACCCAAAGTAAATATACCAAAAATAAGTATGGATAGCAAAACAACGTTTACTGTTTGTTCAGAAATTTAATAAAGATAAATACATACTAGTATGTACATTGATTTATAATTAAATAAAAAAAATAAAAAAACATCACCTACATGAAAAAATTATAGATATGAATATGTTTATTAACTAAAATATATCAAATATTTTATTTTATTTTAAGGTAAATACATAAACAAATTAAGAGACTGAAAATTTTTTCCGCGGGATTAGCTGTCCACATGAATACTTTTATTATTTTTCTTTTGTCATCTCAAACCGCTTGAAAAAAAAGATTAAATACATTGTGTTATTTGAAATATTTGTACATTCATGAACAAGACGTGTCTAGGGAAAAAATTATACGCCATCGCTTGGTTATACTGATTTAATAAAAAATCACAGTCGTTTGATTTATATATTTATAGTGGATTTATAGTAGATTCTAATTAGTCATTATTTGATTTGTGTCCTTTTGTGAAAAACGTTTTTCAAATATATTATTGTATCATAATTCCTGCAGTTTTATTTAATAGAACGATCTTAACACAAAAGTTAACTGAGCTTAAATTTCTAAAAAATATAATCTTTATTCTGACCGTACATAAAAATCTTATATTTTTTAAGTGGTTTTAAAATGGGTTGAGCTAGGAATGTTTTTGGGGTGAATAAGGAACATAAAATTACAAATTTGTTATGGGTAGAAAAAGGAACAAAATTGGGTTGAGTAAGGAAAAAATAATGAGTGGGTTGAGTGGTCGTGGGTCGAATACGGAATAACCCACCTGTCAGTGTCTTGAGGCAACTTAAAAAAGTACATTCTGTGTTTTTATTATTATTTAGGCAGTTAAATACTGCACAGTATTTAGTACACCATTTTCTTTATTTTCTTCCATCATACACACACAAGAATACGCGTGCGTGAGTCAATGTTCGCTCGTATGTGAGGCCTTGTCGAATAGTATCCTGTAGGTGGGCCATCGTGCGTGTTTTGTTTTCGATGTAAACTCGCGGAGATGAACAGGCCTGATCTGGGTTACAAACAATAATACTGTAAAGTTTCAACAAAATCCGTTTAGTAGTTTTTGCGTGAAAGAGTAACAAACATCCAGACATCTAGACATCCAGACATCCAAACTTTCGCATTTATAATATTAGTAGGATTCATTGATTCATTTCCTTTCTTCATTGCGTTAGTATATGTACTTAGATAAATACTTTTATATGAGTAACTTTAACTCAATCTGTCTTCGTATTCGTTCCGTTAACGACCTTGTTTTTTTACTTTTCCAAAGTTCATTCACATCAATCTCATCCCCATTCGCATATCTACAACCGTAAAATGGAACACACGTCTAAAATGAGTGTGTAAATGAGTTTCTTTATTGTTGAGTATTCTGCCAAAAATCCACTTTCGTTATCTCCTCCAGACGGCCTTGTTCCCACTTACATCGTTAATAATACCGTCTTATTTAAGTAATGTAAACAATCACCCGCATAAGCTTCGGATCAAACGCAAGCCCAGCTGGATTCTCCAGGTGAAACTGTAGTCAAACAAATCCCACCACTCTTACATTATCTATAAGATCCATTAGACGAAATCTGGGGATATTGATAAAGTGAACTGGGAACAATGCACAAAGGTACAGCAGCATTGGTTACAGTTGTTTATTGATGGTGATATGGTTTGGCGGCGCACTGTAGCAGACGAGGCGAAGAAAATCGGCAAGATCTGGAGCGAGATCAAACACGAAGCTCAAGACCGAACCGATGGAGGACTGTTGTGGACGCCCTCTACCCGATCTGGGGGACATAGGACCTTAAGTCTAGTATGACAAGTCAGCATTTAAGCGATTTACAATTGTAAAACGATTAAAGAGCAGACTAGCAAATAGTCCAATGGCAGTTTAATGGAATCCCATTGGAAAATCACTGGTCTTTTTTATTAGCAGAACACCAAAAGTGTCAAATAATTCCATTGAGATTCAATTACGATTCAATTGAGCCATTTGTAAATAGCAGACTTGGGGGCCAGCGTTGCTCCCAAATTTGACGAATATGGGAAATATCACGTCGTTGTTGAGCGATCGTAGAGCAAAATACATAGATCTCCTACACAGTGCACAGGGTAACGAAAATTATTATTAAAGGCAAGAACTTATTTATGCGGTGGTCACGATCGTCCAAAACACCTTTCAGATGATAATCATCAAATGAATTAACATTATTATGAGAACTAAAAGCAATAGAGACAGAATGAGATGAGACTCTCTCCTCAATATTTTCGCAGTAGCTGGCATACAGAACTTGGAAATCCTTAGGGGAGACCTTAGTCCACTAGTGGACGTCCTTTGGTTGAAACGGACGCACATTTATTTATTTTATTTTTATTTATTTACACTTTTGCACATACAACTGTACAGTGGCGGACTTAATGCCAGGACATGAACATGATATAGCATAGATAAGACATTTGCTGGAAGAAGGCCGCACCAACCAGCCAATCTGGATATCCTTGGGGAGTCCTATGTTCAGCAGTGGACAATTGTGGCTGAAGAAATGATGATGATGATGAAGACATTTATTTGCAGTGAGCCTACTAACTAACCCTCCAATTACACCATTTACAAATTAACGCACTGTTTATGTTTCTTCCTGTCCATCAATGACGGGGAATTAATCTACTTAACCCCAAAATTTATGTGTTCTCCTGATTTATCTGAACAACAGACTGGCAGTCCATAAAAATTGCTCGCAGAATACTTTACGACGAAGAGTGTTATAATAAAGGCTAAAAATAGTGCGTGATTTGGTGAAAATTTCGAATGTAGTAAGAGTTATTTACAAAATAGAAAACTGACGCCCGTATTCACAAACATTATATTGAGGTCTCACAGTGCACGTGGATGCACAGGGTGATACACGAACCAATCACAGAGCTCTGTTTAAAGCTGTGCGTTCGATTTGCTGCTTCACTTAAGCAAGCATCGTTTGTGAATACGGGCGTGAGTATACAATCAAGAAGGTGCATTGCGTTCTACTGGATGGTAAAAGTTGATGCTCTTTTGATTTTATCTGACCACTTTGGCTTTGGTTTTTGAATTAGTTA